TTTTTTTTTTCTTTCCTTTTGTTGGCGTTGTGATGCAGTTGCATCATTGGATGCTTGCAGACCCTGTTGACCCCATTATCACCGTCGTGTAAGCGATTCGTTCCCTCTGCTAAGACTTTTCTACCCTGCTCAGTGAAGTACACTAGCAGCAAATACGCACTATGCGCAGCTGACCTGCTAAGCAATGCGCACCACTGCATACCACCGCAAAATCCCAGCTAGCTCAGGCTTCACCGCAATGACGAGCATGGGGTGGACGACATGACCCACGATGCCTCGGATGCTTCTCTATAACACTTCCAAATTTCCATGTTGTAGTCTCTCTCTCTCTCGGTGTCGGAGTTTTGCAATCCACCATTTCCAGGCCGGCCGATACTTATATCAAAGTCTAATAAGACCTTGACCTTCGTTTGTGGGCCCGAGTTCTAGATCCAACCACTGACAATGGCCGACCAGAAACAGATCGGAATTGAGTCGAGTCACAGCCGAGGATGAGGTGCGAGTTGGGATGGGTTGCAATGAGAATACTCCAATGCGACCATCTACATATGCAATGTGAAGAGAGTCTGGACGAATTCCGTCTGAAGTGACAACGTAACATTAGCGTTGCACCGCGGGCGGACGCTATTCTTCCCCGCCATCACCGCCGTACGCCCCAGTCCTTGACAATGACCGTTGATCAGAATGCTGCTTTGGTTGTTGGGGTCTGTGGGGTGAAATTTCTGTGCTGAGGTTGATTTTCAGTTGGCCTGGGGATGTCCTCATCCACCAAGGGAAACATGGCGCAAGAACGCCTCACGGCTGTCAATCGTCCCACGCCGGGGACTGAATCAACCTCAAGATCAACCTCTGGTGAGAATCCTCGTCGCGCATTCTGATACATAACTTAGACTACCCTAATCTCCTCCACTTTCTTTATCGGTCGCCCAAAATGTCCTGTTTTGGCCGTTGTCAGTGCCCTGCCCTCTCTCCGTCGGTCTGTTATCTTGTGATCCGTTTGGTTGGCTGCAAGAGACGGACTATAGTTCGTTTGGCGCCTGATTGTGATTGCCGGCGTCGTTGGTCACCGTGGCAGCTTCAAAGGATCAAGCCGTTCGTCGTCGTGAGCCTTGTCATTCTTTCCTTCTTTCTTTTCTTGCTTCACCCCTCATGGTCGGGCCAACATGGACAAGTCCTAACCCATCAATTGGTAATCCGGAATCTGTCTCTTGTTGACCGGGGTGTGATTCAAGCTCAATGGGCCAAAAGATACAGCCCACCCGTCCAGCCATCCGTCTGGGGAGGAAGTCTGGAAGCCCAGTCAGCCAGGGCCTAACAAGCACTCGGTCTGGAGCACCTGATTACACGTGGTACCAGTCCTGCACCAAGTCACATTGATCCTCCATTGATAAACCCTGGTACCACTTTCGCTCCCACTAGGGACTAGATAGATGGATCGTGGAAAAGGTGAGTGTTGCCATTCAAACCATCCAGGCGCGCGCCAGTCGCCAGAAGCCTTGGAGAAATCGGTTGTAGCTTGTGATCACGGCATTGGGAGGACTCGAGCAGAGGCCCTTGCCTGCAACACCAAAGTACCCAAGACACACGGAAGCAACTGTGCTTTTGATCGTGCGTAACACGACCGAATTGACGGAAGGAGGAGGAGGAGGGGAAGAGGGGAATAGGACCAGGGGGGTGTTTCCTTGATACTGGAGCTGCCGCGGGGGGATATCGACGTCAAAGACGATACAAAGAAGGCTGGTTGGTAAAGGGACGGTAAGAACTTGGAACCATAAGACAAGTTGCTAAAGAGATGGCGGGTGATTCTCGCCAACATCTTGTTGGCTGCCCACGATAGAAAGAATGAAACGAATGGTGGTGTTTTGATTGCGTAGATGATGGATGAAAGGATCGGCAGCAACGTTTCCCGCCGCCAAGCTTTCAAACCCCAGACGAGCTGCCCGTCGTCGGTCGTGAGAAACGAGCAAGACGACAACGCCAGCGTCTCGTCTCTCGCACGTCACGTCATCGCCGTCACTCTTCAGTGTACCCACTGAATGTGCTAACCGCCCCGGAGCCGCCGTCCAGTCTTGAAGAACAGTCAGAACCTTGACTTTTGGCGCAAAAAGCGATCTCCGGGGCTCTACACTAGCAATTTGTCCGTTTGTGTTTCCGAAATGCACTTTTTTGAATCCTCCTCCACCGTTCGTCTCTCGTCAACTTCGGGCTCCATCTTTGGTTGTCCAGACCAACGGGTGGGCCTAGTCTGGCTGGAGACCAAAGTGGACACACACATGGGATGCGATCGCGGAAACACAAAAAATGATCAGATCCCTGCAAGTATCAGTTACACTCTATGGATGCAGCAAGGGGGTGCGGTGTGAGTAGGTAGCAGCAAAAAACGAAGCTGGAGTTGAACCATGACACCTTTTTTTTTTTTTTTTTTTTTTTTTTTTTTCGGGGAAATGCACTAACAAAAAAAAAACGAGAAAAAAAACAGAGTTTTACCAACTGGCGGCGGAGAGGCTGGGACCCAAATTTCATCCCCCCCACTCCAAATGCAGTCCCGTCACTGGCAGGCGCTGGCTGAATGTGGCCCGTGTGTCTCCATGCCCGGCTTGTGTCTCTCCGCCCGCGGCCATGGTCTAGTGTAGTGGCAGCGACGGGCAAAGTGTCGTGACTGTCGTCAACTGGCCCAGCTCTTGTGACCGACCGACCTCTATCCGACGACGGGCATGTACCTAGGTAGAGACCTGAAGTGAACCTAAAGCAACACATAAGTCAACTACCCCGCGCTCCCTCCCGTCCCGTCAAACTGGAACTTGAAGGCTTGCAAAAAGAGCCCAGTCCAGTCCCGTCCCGTCCTCCGAGTCGGTAAAGCTGGGCAATTTATATTTTACACTCACAAGCGAACTGCCACCATTGTCACCTACCTCTACCTCTACCTACCTCCACAACTCCTGTAAAATAGGTCAAGGTCCAGTCGCGCATGTTTCGATAGCCTGCACCCGGCCACCTCTCACCCACTCACAACAAACACTCACCATGCCAACCCGACTTCTACCATTGCAACTCCCTCAAAAGGTGGAAAGAGAAAAGGCTCGGATGCTGGAGCTCCTACAGCAAAACTACTACTACAACAATGACGCCGATCACTCTTCCATCTACTACACCCACACCTCCAGCTCTTCCTCGTCCGACATCGCCTCACCACTGCCCATCACACCAACCTTTTCGCGCCCCAGCCACTCGCGTTGCTCTGGTTCGACCTCTTCGCTCGAGAACATCATGTCTCCGAATGCCTCCTCCGAGTGCCCCATCTCGCCATTACAACAAACGCATACCAACAAGACCAACAAGACCCAGCTCCCCGACGTGCAAGAGTCCCCATTGGAGAGAAATTCGGTCGACATCTATGAGGACGAGGACGAGTACGACCTTTACTCCGGTGCAGACGAGGCCAGCCTAGGGGGTCTTTACGATTGCCTGTGTAGGTCCCAACAACAAGATATTGTCCGTCCCTAAACTTAGCGTAGCTAACACGACCATGACTAGGCGACGAGGCATGCGACCACCACAACGATGTGGCCCGACCTTCCATGACTTCGGAGTTCGACTGCGACCTCAGCTTTTTGAGCGAAGTGGATTTCAGCGATAGTTTAGGGTCAAAAAAGAGGAGGCATGGATCAGATGCCGGAATGTCATCTTGGAGTTCGAGAATAGGGTCAAAGCTCCCGAGCTTTCCAGGGTGGGGATCCACGTCGAGGCGAAACCAGTTTGCTTCTGCACCCGCCTCCGTCTCGTCGCTTGTCCAGCGTCCCAGCATTTCCCGAACCTTTTCCCGTGCTGCCTCGAGCAGGTCATCGTCGATATCCCCTTCGATGCGACGCCCTTCTGAGCAACTGCAACAGCCACAGCAACAACAACCACCGCATTTCACCGAATCACCTCTTCCCACCACCCCTGCGCTCTCTTTCTATGGCAGCGCCGACGAAACTGTTTCTCCTGCTTCCCCGCTTCAGGATGCGCAGGTAGCCGCTGGAAAAAGCCTGGAACGGGAGCGTGCCTTGGCTGCCACTCCTCTCCTGCCTCCTTTATTCACCGAAAGTCCAGCAACCCAAGGAAACGCGCAGTCGCTTCAAACATCACCTAACCCCCAATACTACCCTACGCCACCGCTGAGTTCCAAGGCATCAGTAGCATCGTTCCGCCGCGCAACTGCGAGTACCATCAGTGAACTACCTTCGCCGCTTCCCTTTCTTGAGGACCAGGATGCTTGGTCAGATCGTCTAGGACACGCCAACTTTACGATTGAGCCCAGGCCCTATGTACCAGACACGGCGGATTTGGCGACATACGAGGCCTTCCGTGCTGATTGGAACCAAGCCAGGATCAACTTTACCAAACACCTTGTCCGGACTGGGGAACACTACGGCCTGACGTCAATTACGTACGGTTATACCCAAGAAAAATGGGCAGAGTTGGAGCAGGAATGGAGCCGGGCTGAGGAGGATCTTATTCAACGACTGGAACCACAGTTGACCAGGGCGACTACAACACTGCTCCGTCGAGCTACTGAGGATGTGCTCCCAGCTGCCGTCCCCGAAATGCTGACGGATGAGGGCAAGTTTCCGGACCGCGGCGATGTGGACATTGTTGGACCAATGGTCCGCGATGCCGTCATGGCCGGACACGATGATAAGAAGAACAGCGCCTCCCTTTGGCTCAAAAACATCGTGGATAAAGTGGGGCGCCGGAAGTGAAGCGAAGGAAGGAAAAGCATCATGTGCCGCCCATGCTGAATAGGGAGGGAGAGTACCGAATCACCTTTTGAGAAAGTCGTTGGATACTACCCCCTCTTTGTTGTTTTCTTGGTCGATGGTGGACTGGAAGCGGACAAACAGCCTGCTTTTACTATCTGGACCGACGCACACCTCACACGGATTTTTTTTTTTTTTTTTTTTTTTCTAACGCTGTTGACGACTTGATGATACGTGCCACGACACCATGCTAGATCTCTTTGGGGCTGGTCTCATTTCTTGCATACCAGCCAGTCCCCATATTCTTGTCTGTTTTCTTTTAATCTGCTGTCAAAAAGATACCCCATTAGCTTTACGACGTTTTGTCTTTTTTTTTTTTCAACCAAGAGTTGTTCATACATACATATCCGGGATGTACATTACCCTTGTAATTGTTTTTTTTTTTTTTTTTTTTGTTTATTCCTATCAGGCCGGGTAATACATACACTCTTTCAACCTGCCTGTCTGCCCCCTCACTTTTTTCCTACTGTCTCTCCCCCATCGCATTTCTCAATGCTATGAAGTGGCAGGTTTCACACACACCAGGCCACACACACGCATACACATGTGTATCACGGTTACACATCTCTACACTCTCGTCTCAGGTACTACACACACACACTTTTGAGCCAAAGAAAATCTTGTATCTAGATAACTACTTTGTCTTCTTTCTGGATAACAGGCTACTAGTCTAGAGATAGTTAGAGGAAAGACAAAAAAGATGACAATACTGTACATATACCCTCAACTTGCTCTTGCCTACTTGCTTCTTGACTGCTACGAACCCTTTAAAATACGAACGTGACTGGATGCATAACTGATTGGTGGTGGTGGTGGTGGGGAGGACTTTGAGAAAAGATACTGCGAGTTAATCGACTGCTCGGAACGGTCCGTCCGATGTGAAAATGTTGTGGTACATGTTACTATGTATGTACAACCGCACGAACGCGGGGAGAGAGAGCACAGTCAAGTCAGGTAGTCTAGTCTAGTCTAGTTCAAAGCGAAAACCATGTCTCTCTGCCTGCCTGCCTGCCTGCCCTATGGTTAGATCATTGGTCGTTCAACACTCGCACCAAGTACTAAAGACAGACAGCCAGACAGACAGACACAAGGGTGTGTGTGGGAAGTGACCTAGAAAAAAGGAAGCGGGGTTCGTTACCTATGTGTGTTGCTACAGTGCTGGATGGACGGACACTCAAGTTAGGTAGGTGGTCAGTCCACAACGGATCATACGTACCTAAGGTAGAGTAGGTAGGCCACGATGGTTATTGTTTAGAAGGATATATCTAAGCTGAATGTAAGTAGAAAGAGAAGAGTACTTTGGTCATCACGAGAGAAGTCGATAAGCTTGCACCTAATCCGTCCTATCCTATTTTATCCTATCCTGCTTATCAATTCGTCTACGCAGTACTAGAACTACTATTTTAAACATTAAGAGTGGAGGGCTGAGCAATGGGGTCATGAACCTTGAAGGGTGCTACATAGTGAACAGGTCAAGTCCAATGCCGACCCTCCCTTAAGGGTCAGGATCGGGATCGGGGCTGTCGGAATCGGGATGGGTTGGCGGCATCGGAATCGGGATCGGGGGACGGGATCGGGATTGGATTGGATTGGGATTGGATCATGGTTTCGTTTGGGGCAACTACCTTACTCTACGTATGGTACATGCTTGGGATTCTCGCAGTTTTTTTCTTTATTCATTTTTTTGAGTATTTTGGCGTAGTCCTCGGCATTCAAGCTTTCATACTATCTACTAACCTAGGAACCGGTAGGATATCTATATTGTACAGGTAGCCTAGGCTTCAAGCACTGTCAACGGAATGGATGTTATCCTCACCCGGTCGGGAGTTGTATTTGTAGTTGTGGATGTGGTTGTGGTAGTCTGGTTGGTAGTAACCTAGGTAGGTACAGGTAAGGTAGTACTACCTACCTACATACCTACCTACATACCCCTAGCAGAGTAACACCAGCGGTAGTGTAGTACCGATGCGGGAACGGCAAGCACCATTGAGGCACGTTCCCGTGGGGCACAGACTTGAGGGAACACAACCCATCGATGCTTCTGGAGGGGAGGGGGGAGGGGCAGAGGGGGTACAGCCGGAGACAGGTAGGTTCACAATGGTAGTAGGTAGTGGTAGGTTGTCTGGATGGACGGATGGACGGATGGATGGATGGGCAGCTAGGCAGGCAGGCAGGCACAAGTAACTTGGGTTCATTGACTGGACGCAATGGAGTCTACGACTACCTACCCATGTGATAAATTGAGACTACCTCTACATATGGATCAGAGAACTAGACTACTACCCCATGCTCAATCGAGATCAATTAGTGTAGAGTGGGAATCGTGTTCCGTGTAAGGCATGATCATCACCATCATCATCATCATCAAAATTGTGTAATACGGGTCCAGTCCTCCAAGAGGTGGGTAGGTGGGTAGGTGGATGTGTACGGTATAAGGTGGTATCGATGGCACCTTGAGTCGAGTCGAGTCGAGTCATCTCTCATGTGTGTCAAAGAAAGATAAAAGAAGAAAAAGCAAGAACTGTGTGTCTGTTGTGGTTTGTCGCAGTCATTACAAAAATATATTCTCTTCGGTAGGTAGGTGTGGGAGTAACCCGGAAGCTTACGTACGGTAGGATGAAAGGAAAGTAAGTAAGTAGGTAGGTAGGGGACTTGAGAGAATAGAGTAGGTAGGTGGAATGTACGAATGTCCCAGGCATGAAAGCGGGCACATCACGATAATAACTTGACAGTGTCGATCAGGGTTGGTCTGGTGTTACTTATCCTTGGCTACCCTACATGTCACTATAGCTACTCCAACTATCTTCTACCAAGTGAGGTGACTGGTAGAGATGTTCGAGCTTAGCCTGCAGTGCTTCTACTGACACATGATACACGAGTAGGTTTGGTGCACATTGGACGGCATCAGATGCTAGAAACGATAAGGAGAGAAAGGTAGGTAGATATAGAGGTGGTGCTACGGACTAAGCGCATGTTGGTAGCTTCAAGCTACTCAAAATATCTTATTGCGGACTTGTATAAGGTCATTGGCATGACACTTGAGCTTGCTGGCGAGTGTCGATGTTCGTGTAGAGAGCCTCTAGAGTGCACGTGGTTGGAGTGTTCACAATGTCTTCTTTATGTGTCTTGAATTGAGATAATGTCTCTGTGTTTGAAATAGTTACCTATTTAAGTAGCTCTAGCTTCACCTACGCCAAGGCATTGACGGCCCATGGGCGGCATGTCCCGTCAACATTCAAGTGCACTTGAGGCATCGGAACATTGAAACTTAGCTCGTCCCTCAGAATCCATGCTGATCCTGATCGGACACTCTCTGACGGGATCCCCTCGATCCCCTCGAGTTGACGAAACTCGCGTCATGCCGCAGCGTTACCTGGTCAAGGTATGTATGGTCCAGACTTATTCTATTTCAAACAAACACCTCCATCCAAGAATTGCCGACTACATATTGGCCAGCACGTGGCTTTCATATAGCTTTTGTATAATTGATTGCCTGCCTCAACGCTACCTTGTCGACTTGCTACCGGGCACAGTATGTAATGTATACCCATTGGGAGATATAAAGACGACGACGAGACACGAAGCACACGAAACACGTGGCGTCCAACGACACTCTTTTCCGCTAACCATACATGTCTGTACATACACCTAAACCCCAAATATCTCAACGGCTGCCGGCATGATTGGTGTCACGTCATTGCGTGTGTTTCCGGTAGATTGTCACTCAAACATTTCACAGGCCAGGGCTGGAATGGGGCGCGCGCGCGCGGGGGGAAAAAAGTCTGGGGCAGCGGCAGGGTAGGCATGAGAAGCGTATGCAGTGGCGTTTTTAATTTCCCTGGCTCGCAGCAGCAGCATGATGGCGGAGGCGAAGTAAAGAGGAAATGTATGTAACGCACGTATGTATGTAGGGTATCGGCCTCGGAAGAGGAGAAAGTTCACGGGTTCCGGGTTGGGTATCCGGTGGCCTGGCCGCCGGCGGCTGGTATGTGTGTGCCAGGTGTTGCGGGAGGTGGTGACGCGTAAGAGTTTCCATAGCAGGAAACTGGAGGCTGACTGTTCTTCAGCCCCTCACCCTCAAGCTGGTCGGTCTAATAGGGTGAGTCCGATCGAAATCGTGGATCTCGGAAAGCCTGACTCGGCTCAATGGCATGGTTTGGGGTTTCGTGTGGTTCGTATAAGAAAAATAAGATGAGATTTCAGACGGGATCGGGATCATGTGAGAGCCTTTGGGGGTGTGGTGCGGCTGGGTCTCATTGGAGTGTGTAGCTTATGGGCAGGATGAACGTGGTTAAGGGTACTGGGAGATGGAGAATGGGGTGTCGTAATTCGTTGTGTCTTCCCATGGTGCAGTTATCTTCAGTATTATCGTCATGTCTTTGACTACTGGAAGGAAGAAAGCCTGTCAGCCAGTGCAGGGAAAGCCCCGAATAGACACTTTTCACGTTTTCGACCAGCATATCCGGTCTGAAGCTCTTGAATGCTGGATTGAACCCCTCAACCATGACAGGTCCGTTCGGACTCGAGATCAAGGTCGATGCCGGGTCTAGAAGGAGGGATCGGCAACTTAGCCATGTGGTCGTAGCAGATATCAACTTTTCTGTGGACTGTCTGTATGCAGGACCGGCTTAGCGAGTCTCCAAGACAAGTCTGTCCTGTTCTGTGATACAGCTGTCAGGCTCCGCTTGTTGATAAGAGAGGAGTTGAACAGTTCGATAACCACTTGTCCTATCACCGTACCTGGTCCACAGTCATACGACAGCTTGTGTGTCTCGCTAGTGTAACACGACGGTGGTCTGTGACAGAATACCACCAAGGCAGATTGTAGTACTAGTGCTCAGTGGTAGGCTGATTGACGTGTAGTCAAGCGCCATATTGGAACTTGATTACAGGTTAGCCAGCCAGGGGAGGGTTGGTCGAGTATGTACATAGTGTCAAGTCAGTACCGTCAGTTTCCCGTGAGACATGAGCGTCACCAGGGGCTCAGTCTACACAGAGTCAGCGAGAAACTCGGCATCTTCCCTGATTATTTCTCAAACATGTCTCTGATGTGAAGTGCCCGAGGAAGGCCTGGCGTGTTTCAGCTCGTCATCTTTTCTGCAACTTGCAAGTTATACCGAGAGCTCATGGCGTGTTTGAGTCTGTTGTCTCTCAACCCGGTCAGCCGACTTGAAGATGTTGACGATAATAGATATCCAGAGGTACCAGACCAGCTCGGAGCTGAAGCATTTGCATAGCAATAGGGTAGTTATGACGTTGAGTTGTAGTCATTGCTGGATCTGCAGCCGTCCACTTGTGGGTTCGTGAATCAACATCGACATCCCGGCGAGACCAAAGACAAGACATAGCTTTGATGACAAGAGTGAGACTCGGACTCCTAGACACCATGTCACTATAACCCCTTACCCATCAATTTCCGATGAGCGTCGTGATGTCTGGTTGTGACATTGGCGTGGACAGAAATGTGATCCATATGCACATGATTAATGTTGGGTGAGGTTGAGCGAGGACGATGAGTAGGTAAGTTCAAGGTCAGAGTACTGAACCAGAATGATAAGACAAGTCGGCAGAATAGAAATCTACCAAGTTTCTTCGTGGCAGAGTGAGAGAGCCCCGGGCATCAGCGTCATGGGCGAAATCAGAGATGGTGAGGGATGCGGCACACGGCAGAGGTCAGAAAGCGGGCGGTTCGGGCCATGACGGAGACGGAGACGGGGACGGGGACGGGGACGGGCCAGGCCGCCGATGCCCTTGAGGCGCTAGCTCACTCTTAGCTTGGCGCATTCAGGGTCCTCTGGCGGCAGGCAGAGCTCCAAATCTGCCTGTACCTACTACCAAGTTCCAATGACCCCACCTCTGCCCCGCTGGAGAGCCCCGCCAGAGTGCTGCGATGCAGAGCTGTTGCTGGGGGAACACAATTGAAAGGGGGTCTTGGTCTTTCCAGCTTCATTTCCCAACTTCTTTGTTGACCGCCCGCTGACCAACAACCACCAAGCAACCACCATCGCGACATTGCCCTTCTGTCCTTTCTCTTACTTCTTCTTTGCGACCTGTCCTTTCCATACCCCTCTAACGATACCCCCCGGATAATCCTATAACATATTCATAATGGCTTCCGAAAAGGTCTACCGCGCCAGCACCACGGCCCCCGTCAACATTGCCGTCGTCAAGTCAGCCCAACTTTCCTAATACTCGATTGATACTTCGGACGAACACGTGGAGAAGAGCATCTGAACTGACCCCCGTAATTCCAGGTACTGGGGCAAGCGCGACACCAAGCTCAACCTCCCCACCAACAGCTCTCTCTCCGTCACTCTCTCCCAGGCCGATCTCCGCACCCTCACCACCGCCTCCTGCTCGGCCTCGTACCCCGAAGGCGACTCCCTTCTTCTCAATGGCGAGCCCTCCGATGTGTCTGGTGCTCGCCCCCAGGCCTGCTTCCGTGAGCTGCGCGCCCGTCGTGCCGCCCTCGAGGCTGCCGACCCCTCGCTCCCCAAGCTCTCCACCATGCCTCTGCGCATCGTCTCCGAGAACAACTTCCCTACCGCTGCCGGTCTCGCCTCGTCCGCTGCTGGCTTTGCTGCCTTTGTGAGGGCTATCGCCAACCTCTACGAGCTCCCTGCCTCCCCCTCGGAGCTGAGCTTGATCGCCCGCCAGGGCTCCGGCTCCGCCTGCCGCAGTCTGTTTGGCGGTTATGTTGCCTGGCGCATGGGTGAGGCTGCTGATGGCAGCGATTCCATGGCCGACCAGGTTGCCGAGGCCTCGCACTGGCCCGAGATGCGCGCCTTGATCCTCGTCGCGTCTGCCGCCAAGAAGGGTGTCAGCTCGACCTCGGGCATGCAGCAGACGGTTGCCACCTCGGGTCTCTTCAAGGAGCGCATCACGTCGGTCGTTCCCAAGAACATGGAGATCATGGAGAAGGCGATTGCCGAGCGCGACTTTGCCGCTTTTGCTGAGGTCACCATGCGCGACTCCAACTCGTTCCACGCTACCTGCGCTGACACCTATCCTCCCATCTTCTACATGAACGACGTTTCGCGCGCAGCTATTCGCGCTGTCGAGGCCATCAACGCGGCTGCTGGCCGGTCCGTCGCCGCTTACACTTTCGATGCCGGCCCGAACGCCGTCATCTACTATCTCGAGCAGGATACCGAGGCCGTTGTTGGCAACCTCTACAGCGTCCTTAGCGAGGTGGATGGCTGGAAGGCGTCCGCCGTTGAGGGCCTCAAGGCCAACGTTTCCTTTGACGAGAGTGTTGCCGACTTGCTCAAGAACGGCGTCAGCCGTGTGATCATGACCAGTGTCGGTGAGGGTCCGGTTGCGACACAGGAGTACCTGGTGGCTGAGGATGGCACCCCGGTCAAGAGCTCTTCTTAGAGGAGATGGGTTTGGAAGGGAAACATAACGCGTAAGCTGCTGCGCAGGTTGGATTTTAATACTGGAGAAATATTGACCTAATAATGTACATACCCGGCTGTGGACACACTACCAAGGAAGGGCAAGGTAGCGAGAAGCTATGGACATATCATGATAAAGACAGGGCTGGCTAAATGTCCCTGGAGGACAGACAGTATTGGCCAATGTCTGAAAAGGCTAGCAGGCTGTTGCAATGGCAAAGATGGACGCAAACCCTGTCCGTTTCTCATTCGGTTATACTTGGTGCTTATATCAACCTCCTCGGATTCTGTTCTCCTAGAACTACTGACTGTCGATGCAGGATATAGCACCTCCAAGTGTATATTAAGGAGGTTCAAAGATATCCAAAAGGGGCCCCCGCCCGATCGATGTCCTATTTATGGCGTACGGAGTTGAGCATCAATGTCGGTGGTTTGTAGCACATACAGCAATCACGGCACGGCCTTACGTCAGGATATGGCTAAGGGGGGTTTTACGATCGCTTGGCGCCATCCCTTTGCGACCATTCAACACGCGCACTGCACGCTCATGTACAACGCAACACAACGCAGCTTTGGGCTCTCTTACGCGCCATTGCATTATCGGGAGCAAAAAGAAACATTGACAACTAACTCTGGCTAAATAATTATATGTTCTCCCAGACCGTTAACCGAGCAACTATTTGCCACACTTGCGCACAGCTTCCTTCCCCTTGGACAAACGGTTTCGACAACCAACGATACCAGAGCTTCGTTAATGTAGACAGCAATCGAGACGATGAGCAGGAACATCTACGACATCGATCCAGCGGGCAACGTGCTCTGCACATATAACGGTGAATCACAGGAGAGTCTAAGGGCTGTATGTACCTACTTGATTCATCTCTCTCCATCCATCCTTCCATCAATCTATCCATGAATCGATCCATCCGTCCATCCGCCTTTGTCTCGTTCTGCCCTTCTCAATCAAGTACACCCTCATTATCACCATCATCACACCTCGACCGCATCAATACCTACCTACCTAACCTAGTTTATGTCCAACCCCAACTCATTCATTCTAACTCTCGCGCAGCACCAAACCAAAATCCCCCCTCTTACCGCCCTCCTCCACGCCTTCCTCCCCGCCGGCTACCCCCACTCCGTAACCCCCGACTACCTCCCCTACCAAACCTACGACTCCCTCCAAGCCTTTTTCAGCAGTATTTCCTCGTTGCTCGCCAACCGCGCCGTCCTCGAAGGCCTTGGGGTAGGGGACGCCTCTTCGTCCCCCACAGGAGCGCTCATTCTCAAAATCGCCAGCGACACCATCTCCCGCGTCGCCACCATTTTATTTGCCCATCGTCTGGGCACCGCCATCGAACCGGAATGTAAATTTTTCAGGTTCTTGGCTGATTGTTTGAACGATGCTGCGCAATTGCTGGATTTGTTGGTGCCGGCGATGATGGAGAGGTATGGATTGAAGTTGGGTGTGATTGTGGGTGCGGGGGTATTAAGGAGTTGGTGTGGTGTTGCGGCGAGTGCGAGTAAGGCGAGTTTGTCTGCGCATTTTATTGTTGTTGCTTCGCAGCAAAAAGGCGGGGGAAATAATCTGGCGGAATTGAATGCCAAGGAGGCAAGTCAGGAGACGGTGGTGAGTCTTTTGGGTATGTTGGTGGGGAGTCTGGTGGTACAAGTGGTGCAGGATCGACTGGTGGTGTGGGTGTTGATGGTGGGATTGCTGGGGGTGCATTTGTTGATGAATTATTGGGGGGTGAGGTGTGTCAGGTGTCGGACGCTGAATAGGCAGCGGGCGACGATGGTGGTGAGGGAGTGGTTGGAAACGGGGAGGGTGTTGGGGCCGGAGGAGGTGAGTAAAAGGGAAAGTATCTTGCAGCTGCGGATAGGATGGGGACGGGGAGGGGGATGGACGGGGTTTGGTAGGATGGCGAGTAAGTCGGGGGAGTATACGGGTACGTGCGAGTTTGGGACGTATGGGGATGTGAAGGCTTTGGCGGGGTGGAAGGGAGGGTATCATAGCTATGAGATTGAGGCGGACGGGTATTTTATGGGGATTTGTCATCGGGGAGGGAGTTTTCGCATGAGGATCGCGTTGAAGGAGGAGGAGGGGGGGAAGAAAACGAGTTCAAGTGCGCGTGCAAATAGTCCGCTGGAGGCCTGGTTTGATGCAGTTAGCCATGCCTATCACTTCGACTCGGCCCTAAAGGATGGGCTGGAGAGCCATTATGAGAACGAGGTGCCGCTGCTAGGATATACGTCGGAGGAGCAGAAAGGAACCGTCTTTGCGGCGCTGGCGGCTGTTGGGTGGGATCTGGAGACGAATGCGTTGGAAACGAGATCGCCTGTGAGGGTGAGGGTCGGGATTGGGAAGAAAGGTACGTGTGGCTGGCTGACTACATGATGATTTCTCGTCCGTCTTGTTCCCTTTGCTAACTGTAATCTTTCTTTTCTAGTTCCAATCCCATCTGAAAAGGATCTTATTCGACAACCACATGTGTCCAAGAAGGATTGAGTTGTCACAGAACTGGGCGGGTGGGAAGACATTTATCTTCCACTCGGAACAGCCGGATACATAAACAGTAACAAGACATCTACAAAGTTGAAGTGATATGTAATCTATAGATCCAACACCCAAGAGCGACCACCATTATTAGGACAGTCGACTCTATGCAGCGATTTTCCCATGTCTATCATTCTCTATTGAACCTTTCCCTTTTCTTGTATCCTAATGCGCCATTTGGACGGCCGTTTATATGCCAAACATGAGCGAGATACAATGTTAAACCAACCAATACTAATAATACAACGAAACATACATGTCTTACAAGTCCAGTAAGATCTCTCTATCTTATGTACCAAGTCTCCTCCATTTCAGACCTATTCAACAATCCCACTCACCGTCTTCTGTACACCCACCCCTTCACTTCACCTTAGTTCATCCCCACAAACCTCAACGCCCTCATCTTCACCCCCTCCCACGTATTCAACTTGGGCCTCACATCCAAATAAAAGTTCAGCTTCCCCGCCCCAGCCTTCTCGTTATTCCTCCCCGCATAAAAGTCAATCACATAGTCCACCCTCGTGCCACAGCGATCCACAATCCAATCATGCCGATCAAACGGCGCCGTGTATCCCAACAAGGTGTTCAGCCTCGCCTTGGGCGTCATCCGCTTGCTCTCGCCCATGAAGCTCTGCAGCTTGGGGCCCTCGGCACATCCACACCCTTCGCCGGTAAAGGGCTTCTCCCACCGCAGGATCTCGGCCCACGCCCGCTCGTTGACGGCGTTGTGGATGGGGACGACCGTCTTCATGTCGGCCGCGCTGGCGCCGTCGTGGCCCTTGCGCTTCATGGCCTCGTAGAATTGCTTTTCCGAGGGGTAGATCCAGTTGCCGGTGGTGATGTCGGCGCCCGTTTCTTGCTCGGCGTTGGAGGGGCAGGCGGAGGGACCCGTGGTGGCGGCGCGGGGGATGGAGGAGATTTCGCGGTGTTCGCCGAGGTTAAGCTGGGGAGTAGCACCGGCGGCGGCGGCGGCACCGGTTGTTGTGGAGCCGGAAGAAGACATGAAGGGGAGCCATGAGGACCAGGATGATGATGATGGAGATTGTTGTTGTTGCGAGGTAGGAAGCGCTGCGGGAATTGCTGTTTGTTGCGCCAGCTGGGGGATCTGAGTCTGTGTTGGTGGTTGCTGTGGTGCTGGTACTACTGGCGTCGTAAAGGCATTTTCTGGCGATGGTGCCGTCGAGCCACCCGCCGCGGCCGCGGCTTCTTGTGCGGCCTTTGCCTGCTTTGCTTGTTGCAACCAGAGCTCGCGCGTCTTGTGGTCGACGGGGCACTTGTCCTCACTGCCGGCGCCGGCCTGTCCTGCCATTTCCTTCATCTTAAGGGTTGTCATAAAGTTGTGACTATCGGCAAGGGTTCTTGTCGTCGTTGTAGGTCGTGAGGTGTATAAGGATAGCAGGGATCCTCGTCTACAATCGGGATGCGACGATGTCGACGAGTTCAGATGATGGCAGTCTCGGGTTTTGGCTTTGCGACAATTCGTTCGAGAGTGGTTTTCTTGCTCGTCGTCAAGGTCCAAACAAACAAGTTGCTGGGACCGGGGAACTGAGCTTTGAAAGTGAGAAGAATCACCGAGCTCCCGATTGGGTCCGGCGCCGTTATCGTCCTCAATTCGTCAGCGCAGTGGAGGTTGCCGGGAGCTCCCCTCTTCAGCGCAGTTCAACTTTTTAGCGGGGCTTGGGCGATCAATTGGCCGGTCCTGTCCAGTTGTTTGGCAGCTGACAGCCCAGAGACCTTGTTCCCCAGCTAGGAACCCAGCCCCCACCACATAAGTTCGTCCTCACCGGTGGTGCAGTGGGTGATTGCAGGTGAACTCAGCACATGGGCACATGGCATCAGCCACGGCACATCGATCAATTCAAAGGCCCCCCGGCCGGCAATCTCGCAGGGCTGATCACTTTCCCCGTCACAGTCCGCTTGCTGCTTCTGTTTCTCATATGTGAGGTCATCTCCGTAGAAGCCGAAATGTCGCCTTGTACACTAGAGGATTTTACTTGGACGTCACATATCATATTCCCATGATGAGATGTGCTATGAGCTGGGCGCTTCCGAGCATGCCGAGGTGATTAGGCAACCCTGAGCAATTGGTGTTGACGATGCTGTTTTTTTTTTCTTTCTTTTTTTTTTCTTTGGTGTTGATGGTTAAGGCCTCGACACAGCTCGGGTCAGAGGCAATGGTTCACGTATGGCGTGGCTCAATAATGTGAATCTTAAGACCGGTAGTTCCCAGCAATTCTACGTCCAAACAACAGCATGGTAAACCTCTTTGTCTCACATGTCATTCTCGGCATTTGCAGACCAGATACGAGCAGCGGTTGGTGTTCATAGTGTTAATATGTTATTCTGGGCTCGCGGGCTGACAACCAACGCGGGGATTTCGCCCGGCTTTGGGAGTAGCCCGTTGCACTGACTATATACACAAGACCTGCATCCGTTCCCCGGTCACTCAAGCCCGGATGTCCGGACAAGGCCCGGCCTCCTTTGGACGACGTTCTCCCCCACCGATCCGTTTAACACCGTGCCATGCAAACCAAAGCCGCAACGTGTAGTTCTAAAGCCAAACCCTGGTGAGCTTTTTGTTTGTTTTTTAAACGCCAGGGCAGTGCCGTCCATAGATAATCTGATATGCAAACTTTGCTCGGTTCAAAATCGCGTGAAGCATGGGCGATCATACGCTGTGTGTGTGTCATGTGTGTGTGAGAGGGCAATAGGGATAGATAGCTTTAGATGATGGGGAATCTCAAGTGTAGGCCCATTCTTAGGTCAATGGGGCGGAATTGGCAATTCTCAAAGGATCGCTGCGTTGTGTCGGTCGTTTCGGACTCGATATCGATTTTGGTAAACGAACTGTCTAGTCCATGTTGTTTTTCTCTCCCGTTTAAGCAAAGCCACAGCCGGACTCAATAGCCTCAATCTCGGCCTCGGTGAGAGGCTGGCGACGGAAGCGGGCGGGGAGGTCGTTGCGGTCAAAGTAAAGACCCTGGGGAGGGTTGACGGAGCCGAGAGCGGCACCGGGAGAACCACCAATGCCGTCGACCTCAGGGCGGATGGTCTTGCGAAGAGGGCCGTGCTGCTGGGCGTGTTGGCGGTAGGCGCTGAAGGAGGGAGAAGAGCCCCAGTTGGCCGGGAGCGAGTGGGTGGGAGAGGCAGGGTGAGGCTTGGGAGTGTGGTCGACGGAAGCTGTTGGACAAGGAGCAGGCTGTCAGCACGTCATCCGAAAAATAACACCAAGGTTCGCGAGTCAAAATGGCAGATGCACCACACCGGAATGCTCGGAGGCGCAGGACGGGGAGGAACATACCGGGAATGGTTCTGCGACCGATGAACTTGATGGAAGGAACACGCTCAGCATGAGCGGCAGCCTGGCGGAGGACTCTGGTGGCGGCGAACATGGTTGCGATTTTGAGGGTTGGGTGTGTTGGCGTTGGGAAACGGTGACAACGGTAACTCGTGTAGGGCTGCACTGGGAGGCGGAGGCGGGAAAGCTAGAGGTAGTCTGTCGACTGGACCGGTTGACGAATTTTCTCGTTTTTCAGGGGCTATAAGTCAAGTGGGTAACTGCGGTTGTTGTTTTTTATTTGGGTATTCCACCAAAAAAACACAAGACGACGGGCAGTGTGACGATGCGGTTGTGGACAGCGGATGGAGGTCGAAGGGGCTGGCAGGAACGGTTGGCGAGAATGGTCGGCTAGTAGGTTCCTTCTGAACGGTTGGACGGACAATTGGCAGCGGCCGGGGCGGAGGAGATGGGACCAAAGGGGGGGTTGAAGTTAGTTTGGACTCGACTCTCGAGACTCGCGGCCAGGACGGGACTGTAGCGGACAACGGGGGAGTGAGGGCGGCGCGAGATTTATCACTGTTTGTGGTTAACAGTTGGCTCTCTTTGCTGCAAAAGGCACACCTTCGGCAGCCCACTTTTTCACAAGCTGCCGAAAATTGGAGAACAGGCTGCATAGGAAAAATATCCCACCTCGTTTCAACCAATCAAGTCTCTTTGTGCGGCGACCTCCGCTTGCCCCGCCCCGTGTTCGTGGCCCATGGACGGAGTAGCGTAGTAGCTCTTGGACATGGGAATAGCACTAGATTTGTGCTAAGGTGTCACCACAGAGTGACAATACCCCGAGAGCCGGAGGGAAGAGCTGCATTCGTCCTCGATCACCACACTGGGGCAGTCTTTTGGAGCGGGATGATGCATTGTGAACAGGCCATTTTCTCACCAGCATTCCACTTCGTCCACTCTGGTTCCGTTGCAATTGCACCATCACTTGGATCGATGCACCCTCAGAACCCTCTCGAGCTGAGCCCATCCTGCCTCTTCAGTTTGCTCCTCCGATCAAAAGTATCGTCATTGCCGTTGCGAGGCTGCGGTATTCTGCAATGAAAACTGCTCTGGTTCCCAATCGGGCACACAAGGCCAGACAGAAAAGGAAATCTATTCAAGATGGCGAGCGCTAGACTGGCCAAAGTTGGCGGTCCGTTGGCGACGGCTTGACAAGCTTGCATTGCCAAGGAAGTTCTTGGAACGTCTTCACTGAAGAGCGCTAGAGGTTTGGTGGTGTCGTGCTGAAGGGCTCTGAATGGTTGGGTTGGCTGTCCGAGAGATAAGATTCAAAAGTGTTTGTAACGTGTGTGAATAATTCGGTATTCGTCACAACTGAACGCCGCTGCATCTCCGGATTCTCGTTGCACATCTTCCACACAAACCTTTTTCCCCAAATTCATCGGTGCCGCTGGACCAGCATCATCCATGTGTAGACAGGCATTTGTTTCAGCAGTCGACGACCCGTCTAGACCGGGGGAATCGAATAACACAACGACCGGGGGGCAGACCGTTGTCGCCCGCAGACGGCGCAACCGCCGATAAACATCGCCCCCGCTGCACCACCCCCCCGGCTTTCCTTTCCCGTGGATTTATTGCCACACCTTGGCTGCGGACCTCTGGGGCTGGTGCCATCGTAAACCATCATGATGCGATTTCGGGTCTCACAACCATCAAGAACAAGTCCCTGACCCCCGCATCTTCTTCCGCTGTGCGCCCTTATAATCACAACACAGTCGCATCCCGCACCCCCCAACCCGGAAGTCGTCCACGCGACTGCCATGGTTCCGAATGCCATCAAATCGGCCCAACGATCGCGGCGCCTGACCTCACGGCAATCACACTTTGTCACACTTCTCACTTTGTAACCCGCCCAGTGCGACCGCAACCGGATTCGGACCTCGCCGACACAAACCCTTCCTGCAGACTTTCGAGGCTCCTAAGGCCGATGGGTACGGGCAGTTGTCGAAGCACGCGATATGTATGTAGTGTACATTGTGTAAGTAGGGGTTTAATATGTATGTAGCTATAGGCAACGCACATAGACCAGGCATAATGCGTACGCATACTACCCGAATATGTGCATTTTATGCCCGCCAAAATGAATTATAGTAGGGGAGAAGTATTGTCACCCCGGGGTACTGTAAAATCGATTCTCCTAATATCGTAGCTTTTCCTACCTGTCTGTCTTTGAAGAGCGCTAGAGGTTGGAGACATCGAAAATCACTAAACCCCCTATGTATAACGATTCTGGTGCGGCTCGCCTTCCAAATCCGATCAAAATTATGATACGAAGGTTCATCGTTACTCTCATATAACATGCACTGTTACCGTGATTTCAAACGTTATGGTTAGAATATCGTTATATAGCTGATCGTTATGTGCAGGGTTAACAATATACCTATGCATTTTCGCCGGTGGACCGACATGACTTACCTCACCCGAACACTCTGCAAATGCCTGCTTGGTTAGTTATTTGTTACTTCCCTTGGTATGAGACCAGTGGCTTATTCGAGTCCTGAAATGTACAAGGCAACGTACTAATGTTCTTACCTTTAGTGAATTTACATAGTATACTACATGTTGCAGGAATGTGAATGGAATACAATCATGGACCTGACCTGGTACACTAACTACACTACTTGGTCGCTCGGCTGGAAGTGTGGCCCCCTGCGTGGCTAGAGGTACTGCCAGCTGGTGCGTTAGTTACTCGCCTATCAAGCCACCAGCCAAAGCTCGCAGTGTTTGCGTTAAGTCCGCATCTCATTCAGTTTTCTCCACCATCCCCAAAACGGAAACATCATGGAACCAGCCAAGCATCGTGTAGTGTACTTGACCTGAGTTGAGTTGGGGTATCTATCGATCGCGGTCACTCGCCAGGCATGTCTGAACTCCGAACTTGTTCATTCATAGCCTGGGCTTGATTGATCATCAGGATTACGATTTAGATTCATGCGCAATAGAGAAAGAAAGAGTGTGGAAGAAAAAGAGTGTACAACAGGCGTAGCGATAACCCCCAAAGTAAGAGAAAAGAATTATACGGTTCTTGAAATCCCGGTATTCGAGTGCCATTTCCAAATCATGCTTCCAACAACCAACCACAAGCGCACCTACTGACGGCTGAATGACCGAGTAGTGTAATGGAAGCACACTGCACAATTAATCGCCAGCTTATTGGTCCTAGTTGGCATAGAAAAGTCTGAAAGTGCAAGGCCCAGGTTCAATTTCGGGCAGAGTCATCGTTGGCGGTGCGTACTATTTTGTGTCTTTTTAAGTGTTCTGTTCTATCAAACTACGGACCAACTACCTGCCGTTGATCCGGTGATTTATTGGATATTCGTTGAGGATCTTCTCCCCTCCTGCATATCGCCAGGTATTTCATAAACACTCACACGTCAAATCCCCTCCTCTTGCCTCTCACCTCTCACGCCTCCATCCAGGTCCAGCCCAGTCATCCTCTGAACCGTTCTTTCCTCACCCTCACCTAGTCACCCATCCTAGCCTAGTTCATACCCCAAACTCTGGTAAATTCGCCGAATTCAACCAATCCGGCAGAACCCCCGTATCATCCCACAGTGACGACAGGCCGGAGCCACCAACATGGTGTTGGTGGTGGTACATGCTGCTGTTGCTGTTCGCGTTGGAGTTCGAAGCCGCCGTAGCCGGATCCACATGAAACTCGTTGTTCAGCGCTTCTAGGACTTGGTCGTCGGACATGGATGAGAATTGTAGCAATATCGGTTCTGTTGCTGCCCAGAGGGAGGATAGTGTAGATGATGAAGGCTCGAGATATGCGCCGGCGGATGTCGCTGACAAAGCAGCATCGGTAGGGATGCCGTAATTAGTATTGCTCATGTTTGTGGTGCTAGTCCCTTGCTGCTGGCTACTGCGTTGATATGTTGCTAGTGTTGATGATGATAATGATGATGAAACGGATGGCCCACCGTGTCGGGAGAAGGCTACGTGGGGCGGGCCTCGATCCGCTGTCATTGCTGTCTCGTTCCTCGGCCGCACTGTTGAGGCCATATGCTCATACGACGTCGCCGCAGCGGCCGCCGCCTTCTTGACGATATACTTCAGATACTTCCCATACAACGTCGACATGCCATTCCGATGGTCCGTAGCGGTACCAATCCGTTCCAGCACGCCCGCCGTCTCCTCAATCAGCGTCCGGACACTGGGCGCCAGGCTGGAGGTCCCGCCGGAGAGCTGGCCGCTGAGGCGCAGGGCGAAACAGGCGGCAAAGGAGATCATGATGGCTGTGTTATTGGGCATGCTCGAGAGTTGCTCTTCGCCTTGGATGGCTGAACGCATAACGTTCAGGGCCGAGGAAAGACCGGCCGCGTGGAAGAAGTGGCGGACTTCGGTGGGTGCGGTGGGATGGTTGATTACAATACTGTAGATGGAGAGGCGGGTGTGGGTGACGAGGATTTGGACGTAGGGTGGTAGGCGATGTTCTTTTCCCCGGCCGGTGTTAGGAAGAGAAGATAAATTGTTCCGCAAGGTGACGAGAGGTTAAGTGACTTACGAGGTCCGGTGCCAATGGGTATGGTCCATTTGGCATGCCATTGCTCGAAGAACTTGTCGACTGACATTTGTATCCTGGAGAGGTAGTTAGAAAGACGACTTATAGTCAGAAACGAAGAAGAAGAAGAGGAAGGACGAACGACTGGGCAATAAGGCCGCCGTCAGCCAGTGTTTCGCGGGATCCGTCACAGACTGCCCTGATGGAATTGAACAAATCGTCCTGGTTGTGTCAGAGCTTGCGTTGCAGGAATCATTGACATTGGGAGCTCACCAAGTCTCTCCGCAAGACAGCCATGGATACCAAGTGCCCGTCCATGGTATCTGCAATATCTGACATGTGCCATTCATCACAACGTCGAAGAAGGGGCGTGACAGGCACGGTATAGCTTCTCCCTCGCGCTAAGCACATTCCTCGCTCCAGGACAAACAAGGCAATCCAACATCTCTCCCTCCGCCGCAATAGCCGTCTCCCTAGTGTCGATTCCGAATCAACGTCGCCAAACCCATCGAGAGACAAGGCAACCTTGGGGTCAATGCAATCTGCCCGTGCGATTCCTCCGTTGTAGCTACCGTCTCGTATGGCATCCATAGCAACTACAATCTTGTGTAGGAACAGGTCCAGGGCCATGGTGGTGGCCATGGAGACGTACCAGCACGTCTCGTCATCGGTGCTATGTTTGCCAGGAAACATCCAGGGAACGTTGACCATGAAAGCAAGGACAATCTCGACGGACCGGTATCGGTCGACTATGATTCTGTTGACCAAGGTTTTACAGTGATTGGACAACCGCCGCGAGAGGGCGCCCTGTCTTGGCATGAAGAGGGCGGCGGCTGCACATATGGAAGTGAAGAGAAAGGCCGAACGCGAGCGCGTAAAGGAGGCCGTATATAATATTGGGTCCAGACCCCATCTCGTGTGGGCAAGACTCTTGTGGAAGAAGTCAAAGAGGGACTCTGCCTCCTCCGTGGTAAGCAAGCCAAGATCGATGGGATCCAGTTCAGGGCCGCAGTCAAGGGAGAATTGAGTGAATTTGAAGAACTTTTCGACCTCGGACAGCTTCTCGGTTTGTTTCTTCTGGCGTGGGTGTTGATGGCTATGGGCCATCTCAGCTGTAGAAAGCTCGCCAACTGGCTTCGGAGAAACATGCAAGTCAGAAGCTCGGGCGAGAAGTTGAAGAGGATTTTCGGCATCATCGACAGCAAGGCTCTCATCTGCTACATGGCTCTGAGATGGCGTGGAGTCTTGCGGAATGCTCATGTCGTCATGATCCGACATGGAGCTATCGCCTGAATCTTCGGAAACATCCGCCATGAGAATCTCACTAGGCCTCCGTGATATGGCCGAGGATGTCCTTGTATGACCAGTGCTGGGTTGTTTAGAGTCACCATCGGCAAGAGGTGTAAGTGAGCCAGCACCTAAGATTTCTTTGAGTTCGGAGACGAATCTGGTGGCCTCAATACCGTGCAGACTGGCTCCTGATCGTTTGACAGCCTGTTCGACTTGATGGAGTGCCTTTTCCAGCCCGGTGCGCTTACTGAGGAGGTGGTCAGTAACAGGGCTTTGCTATGAAGAACCAGCAGAACTTGCTTTTTGACACCTTTCCTCCTGCCCACATGGAATTCGGGGCGGACGCATTGTACCCCTAGCTGAAGACATCGTTGGCATCGGTCATCATCGTTATGTTGGCCTTTCCCCTTTTCGCACCGAATCTTGGACCGACGACAGACCAAACATGCGGCAGCTCTTCGACTGTTGCTGTCTTTTCGCGACTCTCGAGTGCCCTCGGACGGAGCAGCAACCGTGACATTGGGCATATCCATGAAGGTGCCAATGATGGGGTTATACGTAGAAAATTATGTTGATGAGTCCAAATGCTACCTGTTATTTGTGCAAAACGAGCACTACTCCTCATTCAGCGTGACTTGTGAATCGCAGTACGTGATTCGCACCCTTTTCCTTCCCAGACCGAGAGCATTGGCGGGGTCAGTGACACCGCGAGCTGGCCGATGTTCAACCCCACAGTAAAAGAAACCCCAGAACGATGGCGGCAGCTGTTTGGCAGGTTTTGACAGGTGACACGGCGTTGTGTAATGCTGGGGGCTCAAATGAGAGAAAGCCGTTGTTCAAGAGGAGCCCCCGTCCCGTGATGTGATGAGTAAAAAGATGGAAGTTGATAAAAGTAAACAAAGCATAGATGCGAGGAAAGCTTTCGCCTCCGCAGCACTTTTCTTCTTTAGCTAATTGCCAGACTTGTTTATTGAAGTAGCCTTATTCGGACTCTCGGAACGACGAACTTGCATCAGCCAAGTGTTTCTTTGTGGAACGGTAACAACCAGCCGTTGATGGATTGGTGACAACGGAGGCGGGATACCTCGTTCCCAAAACTTTAACCAATTTACCCGTCAGCTGGATGAGCCGATTGGGGTCTTGCGATCTGGAGGGCATTTTGGATATATTTGACCATGGTACTCCTGGATCGTCACTTGGCCCGGTTCCTGGTCTGAAGAGGAGGACGAGGGTGTCATTCAGCGCCCAGTTTCTTCCATCCGCCCGTGCCGTGGACCTTCCTTGAACCTTCCGTGGCTGGACGACATCGAAAGTTGGCGGTTGAAGGCTCGGTATTGCGACAACACTTGTTGCTGATGTCCGGAGGCAGGTGACCAGGAGACTGTTGGGCTTGGATGGGAGAATGACAACATAAGAAATGAGTAGAAATACCTTTACCGGACGATAAGCTCATCGGATGCCACTCGACAGTCCCCTGTTCAGGCACAGCAAAACCAACCAAACATGACAGAGGGGATGAATCGCACCAACCTGCGCGGTCCAGTGGCTTGGATGCTGCTGACTCCACGCCATACGTAGTGGGCGAGGTAGCTGATTGGATTGGGCCATCAATAAAGCAAAGCTGGTTGATAATTGATGAAGGTGTTGATGAGAAGACATGATCTCTTGGATGTTCGGGATGCTCGCTGTGGAAAAAGATGTCGGGTTGATAGGCAGAGAAGAGAGGGAGTCAACAGGGGATCGCGTCAAGTCTCCACAATAAACTGCGCGGGATGCTTTAGCGGGGCACTCAGTGGGTCGTCTTTCAGTGATCCGGCACCTGCAGCCGGACACGGACGCGCTTTCCCCAGCAACCTCTTTACGCGTCCTTCTTCTTCTCAGGCAGGTGGTCAGCCTCTCAAAAGAGGCACCTTCCATTTTCAATTCCAATTCAAACTCTTGTCCACGAATTTTGTGAAAACTCTGACTGTCTGTATTTCTTGTTCCTTCACTGTCTCCCAGATCTCCCTTAGGCCCTGCCCTGTTACTTCCACGAACAAGCCAAGTCGGCCAGCTGTTGGCGCAAAATGGGCGACAGAACTTCAACTCCGGCGCGCACCCCGGCAAGGACCCAGTCCAACGTTAAGAGATCTGGACTGGCCTCGACGGGCAGGCAGTCGAGTATTCTGGGCTTCTTCTCCAAAGCTGCCTCCTCGGGGACTCCCACGAACGCGGGCGCCAATACCAATGCCAATGCCAATCCCACTATCGCCGCTTCCAGTCCAGCTTCTGGTGCGACAGCCACGCCTCGCGCTGGCCAAAAGGAAAAGTCACCAGAATGCCTCAAGGAATCCACAAAATCCAACTCGATTCTTCCGCCCAGGCGGCGGAAAAGACTCGACGAAACGCCAGTCCCTAGTAGTGACGCCGTTCTACCCCCGAGCTCCCAGGAAAACCCAGGCACTGCCTATTCCAAGGATGATGACACCAGGACCATCATGATGCCCAGCAGCCCCATCAGGCGCAAGGCGAGTTATCAGCTCTCTGTTCTAGATCTCCATCTAAGCTAACCCATCGTGACTTCAGGCAAAAGCGGTTGTCAACTATGCCGAGTCATCAGACGACGACGGCGACGATGTCTTTCTCTCGTTTTCCGGGAGACCCAAAAGCTCTCGTCCATCACGCTCTCGATCACGACCTCAAGTCTTAGACGAGGATGACGAAGACGATGCTTTCGAGCTAGACGACAATGTAATCAACGAGGAAGAAGACGATGACATGGCGGACTTTGTAGTCGACGACGACGAATCCGATCAAGGGCCCTCAAAGTCCAAGAAGAGAAAACGACCGGCAGCACGCCCGAGCGCCCCACGCAAAAAGTCCGCCGTATCCTCTCCGCCCAGCCCTCGAAGATCGTCAAGGCAAGAGGAGGATGACCAAGATGAGGAGATGATGGATGATGTTCCCAGAACCTCAACAGCCCTGAAATGGAAGTATGATCCGGACAACATTGAACCAACCGAACCTCGATCGGCCACTCCTCGTTCCGCACAAACACCATCAGCCACCAAGCCAAAGCCAAAGGCACACACAAGAGAGCCTGAAGAGAGATACCCGTGGTTGGCCGATATCCAAGATGCAAACAGGAATCGACCAGGACATCCCGATTACGATCCTGGCTCCGTCTATGTGCCCCCATCTGCCTGGAGACAGTTTTCGCCGTTTGAGACGCAGTATTGGGAGATCAAGAAGAACTTATGGGACACAGTGGTCTTCTTCAAAAAGGGAAAGTTTTACGAACTCTATGAGAACGATGCCACCATCGGACATCAGCTCTTTGACCTCAAGCTCACTGATCGTGTCAACATGCGCATGGTTGGCGTTCCCGAGAGTTCGCTAGACATGTGGGTCAACCAATTTGTGGCCAAAGGGTACAAGGTTGCCCGGGTCGACCAAATGGAGTCTGCGCTGGGCAAAGAGATGCGGGAACGTGACACCAAGGCTAAGAAGGCGGACAAGATCATCCGCCGCGAGCTTACTTGCATCCTTACAGGCGGCACCTTGGTGGACGGTAGCATGCTTCAAGACGACAATGCCGTCTACTGTGCAGCCATCAAAGAGTCCGTCGTGGATGATAAGCCTGCATTTGGCATAGCCTTTGTAGACGCTGCTACTGGACAGTTCTTCATCTCAGAGTTTGAGGACGATGTCGACCTGACCAAGTTTGAGACCTTCGTAGCCCAGACCTCCCCACGGGAATTGATCTTGGAGAAATCGCATCTGTCTACCAAGGCTTTGCGGATTCTCAAGAACAACACGAGTCCCACCACCATTTGGAACTATCTCAAGCCGGGAACCGAGTTTTGGGACGCTGACGTTGCGAGGCGTGAATTTGACTGTAGCGGCTACTTTGTGTCTGGCGAAGGTCAGGAGGAGGTCTGGCCTGCGAAGCTCAAGGAGGCTCGCGACAAAGACCTCTTGATGTCCGCACTCGGTGCTCTGACTCAGTATCTGCGCATGCTCAAGTTGGAGCGTAACTTGCTCTCCCAGGGCAACTTTGCCTGGTACAACCCTATTCATCGGAACGGCACACTTATTCTTGACGGCCAGTCTCTTATCAACTTGGAAATCTTTGCCAATACAGCCAATGGCGGCCCTGAAGGAACCTTATTCCATCTGCTGAACAGGTGCATAACTCCCTTCGGAAAGCGACTCTTCAGGCAATGGGTCTGCCACCCTCTCTGCAACATACAGAAGCTCAACGAGAGACTGGATGCCGTTGATATGCTCAATGACGACCACAGCCTTCGGGAGCAATTCTCGTCTCAGATGAGCAAAATGCCGGACTTGGAGCGGTTGATATCCCGGATCCATGCTGGGGCTTGCCGACCCGAGGACTTTGTCAAGGTCTTGGAAGGATTCGAACAGATCGACCGTACTATGGAACTCCTGGAGTCCTATGGTGGTGGCAATGGGCTGGTTGATCGTCTCATTGCTTCAATGCCTGACCTCAAGGAACCCTTAGGATACTGGAAGACCGCCTTCGACCGGAAGAGAGCCCGTGATGACAAGCTTCTGATTCCTGAGCCAGGTATAGAAGAAGACTTTGACCGCAGCCAAGCAGAACTGGACCGGATTAAAGGAGAGTTGCAGGAGCTGCTTGAAAGGCAAAAGACTGCTCTACGATGCAAAACCGCAAAGTTCACCGACGTCGGCAAGGAGGTCTACCAGATCGAAGTCCCCAAAACAGTCAAGGTTCCTCCCAAATGGCGCCAAATGTCTGCAACATCGGCGGTCAAGCGGTACTATTTCAAGGAGCTTCAGGACCTTGTTCGTGAGCTCCAGGAAGCGGAAGAAACACATTCTCAGATCGTCAAAGAAGTCGCCTCGCGATTCTTCAAGCGCTTCGACCTCGATTACGAGACATGGTTGCAGGCAATTCGCATCATTTCACAACTAGATTGTCTCATCAGTCTGGCCAAAGCTTCGGCGGCGCTTGGTCAGCCTTGCTGCCGCCCATTGTTTGTAAATGACGAGCGGACCGTTGTCGAGTTCAACGAACTACGCCATCCCTGCATGCTCAACACCGTTGACGACTTCATCCCGAATGACATCAAGCTGGGTGGTGATGAGGCGAACATTAGCCTTCTTACCGGCGCGAACGCTGCTGGCAAGTCCACGATTCTTCGAATGGTAAGTGCCTGCCTTGGCCGTGGAGGCATCCACCTCTTCTAATGCTCTTCATCTGCTAACGCCTTCCGTGCGCAGTCCTGCATTGCCGTGATCATGGCCCAGATTGGTTGTTATGTCCCGGCTGTGTCCGCTCGTCTGACCCCCGTTGACCGGATCATGTCCCGTCTGGGCGCAAACGACAATATCTTTGCTGCGCAATCCACGTTCTTCGTCGAGCTGTCAGAGACAAAGAAGATCCTGTCAGAGGCCACACCCCGTTCACTCGTTATTCTTGATGAGCTCGGACGTGGTACATCATCATACGATGGTGTCGCAGTTGCCCAGGCAGTTCTGCACCATGTCGCATCACACATTGGTTGCGTCGGTTTCTTCGCCACGCATTATCACAGTCTTGCTACCGAGTTCGAGAATCATCCCGAGATCCGTGCTAGGAGAATGCAGATCGCAGTGGACGAGGAAAACAAGAGAATAACATTTCTGTACAAGCTCGAAGACGGCGTTGCAGAGGGCTCCTTTGGCATGCATTGCGCAGCCATGTGTGGTATTCCCGACAAGGTGATCCGAAGATCCGAGGTCGCTGCGAAGGAGTGGGAGCATACGAGCCGGCTGAAGGAGAGTCTGGACAGAGCGAAGACAGGCTGCTATATTCCGCTCGGAGTGCTGAGTGATGTGGCCAGTCTTCTAAGGAGCGAGATTGGGAAGGAGCGAGAAGTTGGCGACAGGGGAGTGGAAGTGCTTTTGCGGGCTATTGAGGCTCTTTGATGGGCAAGGACAAGCCCAAGTCTGAAGTCCGCTAGTGTGTTTCCGCTCGATGATCATTAGATTTGCTCGGTGTACGGCGTCGAGGTGAGGACTTCAATCATTGACGTGAAACCCAATTATTTCTAGATGCCGGACGACCATGACACATGAGGACAAGATTCATTCTTTTATTCGCCCTGTCCGTCGGAGGGTTTCTCAACCATGATTGTGCCAAGAAGCCGAGCTGCTCAACCCCAGAAGGCTTAAAAAGGGGTAGTCTACCAGTAGATGATCGGGTTGTCCGCCTTGGCTTTGACCCTAACCCTTCAGACTCGCATGGCTACTTTTCTATCTAGGCCAACAACAAACCGAACATATGAAGCCTGCAACAAAGTTGTTGAAGCCGGAGTTTTGGGAGTGAGTTACAGGCTCTTCCATGCTAGATCAGATCTGGGCTTCCGCAGTCCAAAACATGCCTGGCGATGACTCGCCTAGTGTTGGTCCCGTCGCATATCGTACGCTCTATACTTAGTCCGTCTACAAAATGATCACCTCCTTCCCCATGATTAGCCAAGTGATGTGTTTCACATCATGGATAGTAGTGTATACATTGCGACGCCAGCGAAATGGGTTAGGTTAAAAAAGCAAAAACGTTGGGCTGAATCCGGACATCCGATATTCACGATGGAGTCAAGTGTCTCGCTTAACCAGGTTGCCGATGATGAGCGGAAATTAGGATAGTCGTTCGGTTCGCGTATTTTGCGGCAGTGGCGGCCTCGCCCTTCCTGTTCCCCGTTGTACCCCCTCCCCCTTCTCATCAATCATCAGTCATTATCCAATCCGTGACGCGTCATGAATCCCGGCATTTTGTTGAACTTTTCTTTCGCTTTCCCCTTTTTCTCCACCCCACCCCCCATGGCAAGTCCAGTTTGGGGAGGTTCCATATCTTCCATTCCATGTTCCATTGTTTTTCCATAGCATAGGTGCCCACTATTCTTCTCTTTCTGCCTGTCCATCCGTCTCTTTGTTCCTTACACTCGTTTCATCAGCGTCGTGTTGAAGGGGAACAGGACTTCATCAAGCCATAGACGGAGAGAGGGGAAGAAGAGATACCACTGGACTCGAAACAATGGCCCGCTACGAGTCCCTTCATGGGAATCATGATGATGAGGAGGAGGATCATGTAACACACAATGAGGTTGGAGACCATGATGAGGATGACGAGCAGCGGCATACTGAAAGTTCGAGAAGTTCAAAATCGTCCTATACGGCAGTCGAGCAAGACGATGAAGAAGGCAATGCCGCCAGTAGGGCTGTCTACGCCGCACTCTACGGGGGAGGAGGAGGAAGTCCACCTTCGGGAGGCCCAGTCCATGTCAGCGGCGATCGGCAGACCGGGACCGGAGACGATCATCACCACCAACTCAACACTCCTCCTCCGGTCCTTCAACACCCCGGGCCTTTTGATGCACCACTCATCCCCCCGAAAAGCCCAGCCAGAAGCACCAACAAGAACCCGTTCTTATCTAACGTCAACGTCACCAATAACATCACCGCCACCACCACATCGACGCCAGCGAGCAATCAGCAGGCCACCGACCACCAAACCCATGGCTCAGGGTCCTCCCGCAACGCATCTGGAGAGCCAGGAACAACAAGCCGCTCAGCCTCCCGCGACAGCACCAACTACGTGAACCAGTACTCCCGCTCATGGAAGCCCAGCTACGGGCTACCACACTCACGAGACCATCATCATCATCATCATCATCCAGGGCACTCGCCATTCTCGCCACTGCCAGAAACCGCAGAAGTGGAAGGGGACTATCACCACCACCACCATCACGGCCACCACAGGGATGACCATCATGACTACCATGATCATGACCACGACAGTAGTGATGATCCTCATGATTTGGATCAAGATGATTACATCATGTACGAGAAGGAGACAGGAGGAGGCATGGCGACGACACCGCGTAGCACTACTGGTAGAGGGGGCCCTGGGACGGGAAGCTTCAAGGAAAAAGGCGGCAGGGGCGGTGGCAAGGGCGGGATGAGGAAACTAATGCTGGTGGAGAGGACCGACACGAAACGGGGGAGGGGAGGAGGAAGGGGAAGACGAGGAACGGAGATGAGTGAAGTATCGATTGATGCGACGGATTCAATATCAGTCAGAGGGCTGCCGACTCATGGCAGCGGCGGCGGCGGCGGCGGCAGCGGGTCTCCTAGTGCTCTTACTCCTGGTGTTGTCGGTGGTGGGATGAACAGGAGCGAGCAACATTTGTCGTACTTCCACTTTGACTCGACGGAGACGTTGGTGCAGAGTAAGCAGAGTATGCTTGGGTGGTGGCTTGAGGGGCTGGGGGTGTTGGGAGGATTGTTGTGTATTGTTGGTATGTTGCCTTTTTTCTTCTTCTTCTTCTTCTTCTTCTTCTTCTTCTTTTTCTCTTTCTTCTTCCTCATTCTCATATCAACCCCCCTTTCTCACCCCTCTCTCTTTCCTGTTTCAATCAAGTATCAGACACACAAGTCCTGCAAAACACAAACAGTCCAATCACAAGACAGGAAGCCAGCTAACACTTCAATTCATCAAGTCATCGGCCTAGTCCTAAGCATCTACGACCACAAACCTCCACCATCCACCTGGCCAGGCGGTCTCAACCTCAACGTCTTCCTCTCCTTCATGACCACCCTCGCCACAGCCTGCTACATGATCCCCGTCATCGAAGGCCTCGGCCAGCTACGTTGGCTCCGTTATACCGGCGGACGACAGACCGTTTCCCGCCCCGCAAGCGACTTTGAAGCCATCGATCAGGCATCACGGGGACTTCACCACTGCTGGAGACTACTTGGTTTTCAAGGAGGGTACGTTTTCCCCCCTCCCCCTTCTTTCTCCCCCTTCTTTCTCCCTATTCCCACTAACAAACCCCCCAAAAACAACCAGCCCCCTAGGCATCCTCGCATCCCTCATCACCTTCCTAACCCTCTTCACCCCCTCCCTCACCCAACTCCTCATCACTTACCTGCCCCCCCAACCCCACCGCAACAACCCCGGCGAACCCTTCGACAGCAACCGCTCCGCCGTGACGCTCGTCCGCATCAACTGGTCCTGGCTCGCCTTTCTACTCGTGCAAGTTCTCTTATCTGCCATTTTCCTCACCACCATCATCGTCAAGACGCGCATGGAAGGGATCCAGATCTTCAAGACTTCTGCGCTACCGGGCATGACGGCTTTGGATGGGCAGGCGAGGAGTAGCTTGGGCGGCGCCATGATGGGACAAGGGGGCATCATGACGAGCGCAGCGTTGGGGGAACGGGCGAAGAAGACCATCCTGAAACTGGAGAGGAGTAGTGGTGCGACGGGCGGAGGGGGGAATTATGGGTTGGTACAAGGGTTTGTGGTTGATTCAAGTGCGGGCTCGAACTCAGGCTCCCATGGATCTGGGTCCGGGTCTGGGTCTGGATCTGCGGGGATGGGGTTGCGTGTGCCAAAGGGACTGGGACTGGGATTAGGACTGGAACGGTTCCGTCATCATGATCATCAGGTGCTGCCTTCGTATGATAAAGAGGGAGGCGGAGAGGGATGCGGGGGACATCAAGCGTTTGGCAATGGCCCGGCCGAGAACTTGAGCTTCCCTGCTGCTGCCGCTGCGGCCGCTGGGTTTACGCCGCTGCCTATGCCAATGTCCAAGGCGAAGCCAATGCCGATATCGACAACGGTGCCTGCTTCAACGGCACTGTCTGGGAGGAGAAAGATGAGGTTTAGCTTATTCGGAGGAGCAGGGAGGGAGAAGCTGAAAGTGAGGGGCTCACCTGTTCATGCCAGTAATGGCGGCGGGCAATTTTGAGCAATGGGGCTTGGTTATCAAAAGCAAGGGAAAGAAATTGTGATTAAGCTGCCTGGCTGGTTTGAGACTAATGGATAAAAATGAGACAAGGTACTAATGACTGCTGATACCGTACCCAAGATAATCATCGCTGTGATAACTCTCCTTCATTCCCGAGTTTCCGTTGCATGTTTTTCTTCGGATTCGCCAACATCCATGGCTATCTCTCCATTGCTTTCATATCTTTCGCGATCCTCGCTGGCGCACCTCACACCCCAATCACGACGGCTCAACGCTTTTCGTTATCCCCAACAACAGGTGTGAATAACATCGAAGATACAGGCAGACCTTTGGGGCCTTTGGGACGGCCGTCGGAGGGAACATATGTATTCTCCGTAGGCGATTGTCAGCGAGATCCATGTACAAGAAGCTTGGAGCGGCGGGATTATACTCCCATGCCTAGATGACCGACTGGATTAAACACTTACCTGGTGTCGAACGGGCAGAGTCCGAGTCACGAATGTCATGAGGTTTGGCAGGCAAGGTGCTTCTGGCGGTGAAGTTTATGGCCACTCGAACCGCCTATTCAACGGTCTGGGCTGGATGTCCCGGTGACTAGTACAAGCACTCATGGTCATGCCTTTCAAGGCTGTCTCGATCGGGGAACTGTGCCCCGCATCTGAAGCACGTGCGCCAGCTGGCCATATATTGTTCCATGTGTTCTTCCAGACTGTCTTCGTCCTCGAACTCCATGTCACAGTTCTCGCACTGCCACGTCTGCCGGATGGGATATAGTCCCTCGCAATCATGGTCCTCACGGGTGGCTTGATCTGGAAATTCCTCATTGCATATCGGGCATTCGAACAAACCCTCGGAATGGTCTAGCATGTGGTCATCAAACTCTTCCATGTTTGCAAAATTCCTGTTGCACTTTACGCACTCGAAAGGCCTCTCTTCAGCGTGCGTCTCGAGATGCTGTCCCAAGTGGTCAGCCTCTGCGTATCGTTCATTGCAGTATTTGCAAATAAAAGGCTTGACTCCATGAGTCTCTCGGTGCTGTGAAAATTCTTGTGCCGATTCAGTGGAGAAGTCGCAGATGCCGCACATAAATGGCTTGTCTGGCCCGGAGTTGCCACTTGACGAGGACATTTTTGATGTTTTCCTATGGCCATGCCTCATAGTCAGCAGGTGTAGCAGGGAAAAGAAGGGCGATGTGACTTACTCTTGTAGATCAAAATATGACAAGCGTGATGACTCGAGGGATCAGAAGCAGGAGAAGGAAGAAGAGAGAGAACGCTGAGAGTGTCAAGAGAGAGCAACGAATTCGTGTTGGAGAGCTCTGGACAAGAACGGTGTATCGATGCTCTCAATGCTAATTGGTAAGATGGCGTCTAGAGACTTTAGATTCTGTGCTTTCGTGCGGCCTTATGAAAGAGGGCCGGGGAGCTGATAAATATAATCACTCGGACGCAGTACCAGCTCCAACGGTGAAGCGCGTTTAGAGGTCTTTTTCACCATGATGCCTTCTACTAAGCTGTGCACAGAACAGGCGAGGCAGGAGTGGACGACCGTGGAGAGTACAAGAGCCACTGTCAGTTGGCAGAGGGCATGGTCGAAGCCTTCTTGCAAGCGCTCGACAGCGATGTGCCTGAGATCAAGGGAAGAGACGGGAGTTAGCAAGGGCGGGAGTTTTCATATTTGAAATAGACAGCCGAAGGAAGGTGATGCCGCTATGATCGTTGTCCGTCATTACCCTGTCCTGCCTAGGTAAGGCCCTGGAGGAGTAACCTCGGCGCTATGGGTGGAATGACAACGGAAAGAATGTCGAGTGCGGGTGACAGAAGGGAGGTCTGGTCAAAAGATAGTTGGGAAAGTTCAGCTCAAGTTGGCGGCTCAGTGAGCGGGGAGTATCTCGAGAGGGTTTCCATTTTGATCGCAGCTTCCTGGAGACGATACGCGATGCTATGACACGGATTGGTTCGGGTGCAGCTTCGAGTCGCTTGAGCGAGCAGGTGCGTGCGTTGAAGCAACTGAATTGCCCAATCCCACTGAGGCACGGCAGGGGCAACCTCACCCGTCCTCAAGGTCCTTCCTTCGGCTCCCCTTCTTGATGATGAACTGACGGATTGAAGCAACACCATCTCGCACTTTCCCCTGCTGTCCAGAGACTCGACATCGACACTCTGCTTGACAGGAAGGACAAGCATGGCGCCCGTTTATCCTACAGGTACCTAGGTACCGTTCGCTTCTCCACCCTTGGCTCTGATAACAGAGTATGTAGACAGGGTTAGGGTCACTATCGGCTGTTAGTCAATGACGGTATCTCGGTTCCTCTTCGGGCAACAGTAACACAGAATTTGTCGCGCAGATCCAGACCCTCGATCCACGATCCACACATCAGGCCACAACCCACCACCCTCAACTATGCTTAGCACACGTCTGGGTCTTTCTCCCCTGCTTCACTCCTCCAAGCAAGCATCATCAGCCCTATCACGCCTCGCCGTCCCGAGAACGACGTCGACTCCCCTGCCACGCCTCCGTCTCACCATCCTCCCGAGTGCTACCCCGCGCCGCTTCTGCAGCTCCCACACCGCCGACGATAAAGACCGCAGCAAGAAGGACATCACCATGTATCTCCAGGAGACGCACGACAAGGTCTTTGAGAACAACAAGTCCTGGGCCGCCGAGCAGGTCGCCAAGGACCCCGACTTCTTCAAGAAGCTCGCCGCCGGCCAGAACCCCGAGTATCTCTGGATCGGATGCTCCGACTCGCGCATCCCCGCCGAGCAGATCACGGGCCTGCAGCCCGGCGACGCCTTTGTGCACCGCAACATTGCCAACCTGGTCTGCAACACGGACCTCAACGTTATGAGCGTCATTGAGTATGCCGTCAAGCACCTCCAGGTCAAGCACATTGTCGTCTGCGGCCACTACGGCTGCGGCGGTGTCAAGGCGGCCATGACCCCCAAGGACCTGGGCCTCATGAACCCCTGGCTGCGCAACATCCGCGACGTCTACCGCCTGCACGAGAAGGAGCTCGACGCCATCGCCGACGAGGAGGCCCGCTACGAGCGCCTCGTCGAGCTCAACGTCTACGAGCAGTGCCGCAACGTGGTCAAGACGGCCGCCCTCCAGCAGTCGTATGCCGAGAACGGCTTCCCCATCATTCACGGCTGGGTCTTCAACTTCCGCGACGGCATGCTCAAGGACCTCAACGTCGACTTCAAGACCATCCTCAAGGATATCCAAAAGATCTACAACCTGACCAACTAAGCTATCGATATATGGTTGGGGTCCGGAGGATTTGGTTGTGTGTGTATTGTATGTACTGTAAAGCGAGTTTTATGAGCGATTTTTTGGAGAACTGGGCATGGGGGCTATAGACACTGGCTGGTGTGTTGCACCGGGGGTATGATCCGGTATGATCATATATACAAACAAAATAAAACCTTGTATACCATATGGCCCGTCTATCTCTCCAACTCTCTCATATGGCGTTGCGATTACATGACTCCATCCCTATGTCCGTAACGGACTGGCAATTCGGATGGACGTAAATAAGTGGACCGTCCATGCCTCTTGAGTGTTACTGCACGAGCATCATCCAACAAGGAAGTGCGGGGCTTCCCGGCCGGCCTGTAGGGCTGACATGCACCAACAACCAGTTTGGCTTCACGCCTGATTTGCCATTGCCAAAAACCCAAATACGTATGCATCCTGCACTTGAGCCTCCCTCGTCTCGTCTCGTCTCGTCTCGTCTCATCTCGACATTTCGTCCGTGCTGTTTCCGGTACTTTACTCTCATCTTTTATTGGACTACAAGCTCCCCGAACCCAGGGGCGATCTACTAAGTTCAGACGAGATGAAAGGGATCCTGCTCTGCTTTTCAATCGTGGATTGCCGAGAATCAACCCTCTTCGTTGCCTGATCTTACCTCGTAGGTAACTAATCTTGAAGTACCAATCGAACCTTGAGACTAGACTCCAAGTTGGTGATGAGATGATTCCTTCTCTCTGTTGAGAAACACAATGTTACACTAAAGACACTATTCTACCGGCGCAAAACCCCCAGCCTAGGACAATTTCATTATCCGCGATGACACTGTCCTCTAGGTTTCCATTCCTTCCCTGGCCTCGGGACTGTCCCCAGCCCGGTTCCGGTTGGAAATGGACGGGGTAGGAACGCGGGTAAGCGGCCACTACCTACCTCTACTACGCTGATGGGACACAGTTGAATGGTAACGGCACCCGGATATTTATTCACCCCTGCATTTTCATTCCCTGCCCTGGTCTTTCTCCGACCTCTAACCACAATTGTCCAACGTCCAAGGAAAGTAAGTCCCCATCTTGGTCGGTGATAATAGACCCAACGGACTGGACTGTGAGTATTGAACTCCATTGCACTCTTTACCTCTAGGTAGGTGTCATGCAGTATCACCAATTCACCAGCCAGAAACATGATTCACGTGACATGAGAACGGGCTTGCTCTTTCCTAACTTCGGTACATACACCCCATCTCTTCTCCCCCATGACGTGAAGTGAAGTGAAATCTTGTCATTCCGTCCCTCAGTCGTTTCTCTTTCTTCCCTTCTCCTTCATCTTGGTACCAGCATCAGCATCAGCATCAGCATCAGCATCAGCATCAGCATCAGCATTAGTATCAGCATCACTAGGGCAACCCTTCCTAGACATGAGTGATTTGAGTTACCTGGTTTTTCCACCTGCGACTTTTGCGTAGTCAGTCTCCTCCACTACAGACAGTACCATCCAGGATATTGTGTGGCTTGGACTTCCTTAACAAACACCTATTCGTAATCTGCTTTGTCTTCCCCCCTAGAGTTTCACACAGTACTAGTCGTGGAGGAGTATGCCTAGGTAGGTAGGTAGGTAGGTAGGTAATTGCATCCACAAGGGCAGATTCATGATACATACTCACGTGTTTTTTTTTTTTCTTTTATAAAAGTTGTTTCCCATCTATTAACTAAATTCGTATAATGACTAACTAGTATATATATATATACAAAAGAATACCACCCACTGCTACTTGAGTGGGTAAAAAGGAAAACGTTGCTAGTTTACTCCCTTCGTGACAACGATGCGATGCGATGCGTAGCGTAGTAATATATCTTTCTCTTTGATCCTTCCCGCATTTCCTTCTTTCCTTCCTTTCCTTCGTTTCCCCCTTTTCGCTTTCTATAAGTACTGTAATGACGCCGCAAAAAAGATCGATCTACACAAGACAAAAAATGATAAAAAGACGGAGACGTGATGATAAGGAAAAAGGTTAGCGGATGATGGTATCTCTTTATCCAAACTGCAACGACAATGATCAATCAATTATTCCCAGTATTTTTATCCCTTCGACTCCCCAACACACACACACTCACACACACACACATATACGCTGGCAATCTTCGAACAGTGATGGAGATAAAACAAAAATATATATATAGATGATATGTGAATAATATGCTTTGCGCGTGAGAGTTGCCTTGCGTATGTGTGCGTATGCTTGCGTATATGCGTGAGTGTGTATGTATGAAGACGTTCGACACCACCGGTTTCACCACCATCAAATCCACCATCACCACATAATAGCCTGTGACCTGTGAAAATACCACAACTCCAGCCAAGCTTCGCCGCAGCAGCAGAGCCGCATCGTACACCATCAAATCGCCATCAACACTCAACTCCGCCATTAAATAAGAGATGTAAAAGTTCGTTTATGGCTTCGCCACCTGTTCCTTTCTGAAGAACTTGAAGAATCCAACTGGAATGATCAGCTGGAAGATCAAGCAAACCCAGAAGTACGGGCTCGCGATGCCGGGATACAAGCCCTGCGAGAAATCGGGGAAGGTCGTATTGGGCGACAGCGCGTTGGGGCTTGTCGCGCGTCCAATCAACGTGAACATGGAACCGATCACTTGGGCGCCAATCAACACCACCAACACGTGTTGTCTCGTCAGTGTCGCCAGCAGCATCATACCGAGACCGACGCCCTGGATGTTATCCAGCAGGCCCAGCCACAACCAGAGACACCTGGAGAGGACGGCCGAGCCGACGGGGCCGCCGGCCCACGGGAGGTACCAGCCGATGCCGCTGCAAGCCCACATCTCCTGGGCCCAGCGAGGAGCGCAGAGACCAATGGCGAAGATGGGCAGGAGCCACGTGTGTTCGTCCGAAAAGTAGGAGAAACCGTAGAGGACGATGCTCCAGAGCACCACGAAGAAACCGAGGGCCATCAGGAAGATGCCCCAGTTGGGGATGAACTGCGTCGAGAACAGGAAGCTCCAGCTGCGGCCATAGGGCGCCGACAGCCAGTAGTTCTGGAGGATGATCATGACGAAGAACCAAGGCACAATCTTACGCCTGTACAGCGAGATGTAGAAGCCGGGAATCGTGGCCGGAGACTGACGGTAGAAGTCTGGCAATCCAACATAAAGAATGGCGCCAATCGCCCAGAGGAAGATGGCAACCGGTACGCAAATGACAAGGGCCAGGGGGACGCCCGACTCGCCAATGAACTTGGTCATGGTCTGAGCCTCGCTCGAGACAGTCGCGCCCCAATACCAAAGACCAAGACTGTAGACTTGAGCGATACCGGAAACGATCAGGGCACGAGTAATCCACTGCCTGGTAGGAGCACCACCTTCGTCACCAAAGTTGAGGGCGAAAGACAAGGCACCATGACTGGCTCCGGCCGCGTAAAAGGCGGTAGCCGCGCTTGTCACGCTGTCAGCCACCTTCCAGTCACCAATGAATGGCGCAACACCGAGAAGAAGGAAGGCGAGACCGAAGAAGAACCAGGGAGCAGACAGGGCGTAGACCGACTTGAAGTTGCGCTCCATACCCCACCACATGAGGGATGTAGCAATGTACACGCCACCGACCGTGTAGAGCTTCTCAGGCGTCTGGGCTTGCGAGCCGCTCAACAGGACGATCTGGTAAGAGTTGACAGAGATGATTTGACCAAGAGCGAGGAAGAACGAGTAGAGCGGCCAGTCACCGATGCGAACGGAAAGAGTTTTCTTGAGACCAGTGGGAGCCTGGTAACCGTCACCCAACAAGAACTCATCGTCGTAATCGCTGCGCCCACCCGGTGGCGACTCCTCAAAGACAGACCTAGCCAGGCCACTGGGGGTAGCGCTGCGCATAGGTTGGCGGCCACGGCTGACAACCGACTCGCTGCGATCCCCGCCTCTCGACTCGGGTCTGCCACTACCACCCCGGCCCATACGGCTGGCGTCTCTGTGGCGACCAAGCTTCGCGTCTCTGTACCTAGCAAACCACTCCTTTTCACTCCTCTTCAAGAAGGTTTCAATGCAGAGGTCACTGGAAGAGTTGCTAGCGGTCAAGGCCTCAAGCATCTGCTCGAATTCCGCATAGTATTCGCCGTTGGTATCGTTGAAGAACTGATCAACCTTCTGGAGCTTAAGATCGTGGCGGTCACCGACAACGTCCGGAAGACTGAGCAAGCTGCTGTTGCGGTGGGCTTGCGTGAACGCAGGACGAGGGAAGGCAAGGCCGCCATCGGGACCAAGGCCAGGCGACATGGGTCCTCCATTCTGGGCACGGATCGCAAAGCTGTCTACACTCATAGTACTCTCACGAGCACCGCCGGGCTGCAAGTAGAAGTTTCCAGCAATGGAGCTCGCAGTCGAGTCGCGGGCTCCCGGTGACTCGGACCTTCCGCCTGCCCAGGGGGCACCCGGCGTCGGGAGATCGGGAGAAGCAAGATCGCGGAGCGTGGGGGTAACGGGACGGGAGGGAACGGCGAGAGGACCAGGAGACGAACGGCCGCTGCCAGGATCAGCGTAGCTAGCACGCGACGAGGCACCGGGCACAGTAAGACCCGGGCTCAGGACTTCCAGCTTCTTCTTCTTCTGCTCTTTGATGTGGATACGGATAGACTCGCTGTACAGGTCGTCGAGCTGCTTAACCCATTGGGCGACCGGGAAACGCTGCTTGGCGGACCACGCACGCATGACAGCTCTCTTGTTGTGCTTGCAGGCAAGGGCGGATTCGATAGCCTGTCTGAACTGTTGGATCAAATGGGAGGGCGTCATGGACTCGACAGTGTACCAGAAACCAGGCATTTGACCGAGACCACCGACACGAGCACCGACACCCAAAGCACCCTTTCTTCCGAACTCAACAGCGACCAAACCGAAGGGCTCATCACGGGAGGGGATAAGGGCAAACTCAGCACCGGTGAAGATGTAGGGGGGAAGCGAAGTGAACTCGGGCTTGCTGAAGACACGCTTGGGGTATTTCTGCATGAGCTTCTCCAGCTTGAGGGCAGCGAAGCGACCGTAGAGATCAATGACGGGACCAACAGCGATGAGCTGCGTCTTGGGGTACTATTACACAAATCTGTCAGCAAACAATTCACAGGCACCGACATGTAATGGGGCAGCGCTGACTCACCTTTTCCAAAATGCTGGGGAACAGATCAGCAATCA